AATAATGTTAATATATTATATAAAGTAAAGTTGTTATTCCCGTAACCGATCCGGACATTGGGGATTGCTTTGTAAGTGAGACAACTTCCTGAGCCTTCGGCATAATACTATTGTGGTAGGGTGGCCAGTTTCTTTCCACGCCGCCTTTACTTCCCCAACTCGAAGTCATGTACCCATTACTGCTGGGTGGGCTTGGGGAGGGAGGGGGGAATCTGTGTCCGAAAGTGTAATTCTATCAGGTTGATAATGGACAGGGGTGGTCGTCGGTTGACTGGTTTTGAAGAAAGATTTTCGCGAACTTTTTTTTGGCATTTGATTGGCAGTGTTCGGGGAGGTCAGGGGCTTAGTAATTAAACGTTCTCGAATTGGCAGGCTACGACCCTTGGGGGGGGGGGGGTGATCTTGAGCTAAGCTGTGATTGGGGGGGGTGATCATAAGGTAGGTTATGATTAGGCAAATTGTATCGATGTACGATCTTATATCGATTTCCTGTTGTGTCGACAATATAATTATCATGTTGTGACAAGACGTCAGTCAGCTATGAATAACGATTGTGTAATATTAAAGGACAATTTTAGGCTTACACTATATACAACTCAAACAGCATGCCCAGTTACAGTTTGATTCGAACAGTGCCGAAATGAACGAGTCAAAAATGCATTGCCAACGGGCAAAAAAAATGTTATTTGAAAGCTTGAAAATTGTATTTTTGGTCGTCAGTTATCAATTTTCCCCCGGACAATGGTGGGTGATAATTAAGTTTATTATTTTTTTGTCAGCAAGGCTTTCTGGAATCAACAGCAAGATAAGCTGTTCACTCCATCGACGTCAGAGGGGATTTTTTAGGGGTGGTGTCAGTTCAAACAGTTAAGACCTCGAATTATTGTTCGGGCACAGTCCTTTGAATGACAGATCAATGACTTGCCTCCTCAGAATAAAAGAACCGAGCAGATACATACATTAGAAGTGCATGGCAGCACCGTACGTAGACCTATTAACTTTCAATTTTTAAGGTGCGACTACTGGTCCTTTAAGCTCTCCGATAACACAGACAACCGCAACCGAAAGCTTACAGTTGATGATCCTGAAGTAAACAAAACGTTCTAGAAAGTTCTCCACTTTTTTTACAGGTCGGCCTAGAGTCATTAAATTTTGATCTAATATAATGATTCTCTATATCTCGAGCTTCCTGTTACATTTTTGTCCCTATCTTGGCCTAGATCTGAAGATCAATAAACTCGAGGCCTCGCTACCGAAACCGAAACTCATCATCGAGACCAGCTCTCGCGGGTGAGTTAAGTCTGAGAGTGAGCTGTGGGCCTAATTGTTGCTCTTATTAAGACAATTTACAGTGTGTGTGTGTATATGCGCGCGCACGCGTGTGTATGTGAGTGTGTGTGTGTGTGTGTGTGTG